GATCCGAGGCCGAAACGGAAGGTGAGCGGCGTTAGAACAACTTTCCCAAAACCCTGGGTTCGTTTTCCTACGGCTTGCACGAACCCAACCTCTTGACCTTGCCGTTGTCAGGGTTCCCGGCAGTCACCCCAATGAAATCGTGAGATTCGAGCCAAACTTCCAAAACTCCCAAAGGATTTATGGGGAATTCACATGTCTGGCACTGCCTGGGTGACATCCGTCTCCTGCCTCTGCCCCTAGGAAACGGATGTATGGAAGGACTCCCGGGTAAGGAGGTTGTGTGAAAACGGATGTTGCTTGTTCCCTTGCTGTAGATCACCCCAGCTGCCCCCTGAGGTTAGAGGAGGAAAATGGCCTGAGCGAAGGCAAGCTGGAATTCCTGTCCTTTTCTCCGGAGATGGCGGCCGAGCAGTTCACCCTGATGGATGCTGTAAGTTTAGCTGGGCCTCCTGTCAGGGTTCCAGTTGATACCCCCAAATGGAATGAAAACTCCAAGGCAGGCATGCTCCTCAAAAGTACAGATTTATTAAGCATGTCATATTGGCACGTCTGGGGAAAACCCAGTGAGGTTTCCCCCACCCAAATCAATCCCCAGAGTTCTTCTCTTCCCCCCTGGTGTGGGACGTCACCCCTGCTGCCTTTGGCCCATCCTCGCTTTCCGTCACATCCGGGCCTTTTTTACCCACTGAATGGATTCCCTCACCTTTTGTCCACCGCAGGAACTCTTCAAGAAAGTGGTGCCTTATCACTGTCTCGGGTGCATCTGGTCTCAGCGGGACAAGAAGGGGAAGGAACACTTGGCGCCCAGCATCCGGGCCACTGTCTCCCAGTTCAACAGCGTCACCAATTGCGTCATTGCCACCTGCCTCGGGGACAGGATGCTGAAGCCCCAGCAGAGAGCCAAAGTGGTGGAGCGATGGGTCGAAGTTGCCCGGGTACGTCAAGGATCCAGCCGGCTTCTCGCTCTCTCTCTCTCTCCCCCGTCAAACAAACAAACAAACATGTAGCTGTGCAGTGGTTAGCACTGAAAGCCAAAGTCCAGAGAGATAGATGGAGATAGAGGATGGATGGACAGAAGTGATAGGAAGATGGAGGAAAGAAATGGATGGATGGGTTGGACAGAAGGAAGGGAGGAGAAGGGAGAGAGGGAGGAGAAAGATTATACAGGAGACAGATATAGACGGATGGTAGAAAGAAGGAAGAAAAATGATGGAAGGGAAGGAAAGGAAGGGGAAAGATTATAGAGAAGACACGTAGATGGATGATAGAAAGAAGGAAGAAAAATGATGGAAGGGAAGGAAAGGAAGGGGAAAGATTATAGAGAAGACACATAGATGGATGATAGAAAGAAGGAAGAAAGGGTTGATAGGGAAGGGAAGGAAGGAAGGCGGGAGGAGGGAGGGGGAGAGATTATAGGGAAGACAGATGATAGAAGAAAGGAAGAATAATGATAAGGAAAGGGTGGGAGGGACGGAGGGGAAAAAGAGAAAGATTGTTGACAGAGAAGATGGATTAGAGATATAGATAGATAAAGATTATGGAGAAGAAAGGTAATAGAGGGACCAGGAACAAAGGAAGGAAAGAAAAGATAGGTGGATAGGTAAGTTGGCAGATCAAGATTATAGATGGGGAAAGCGGATACAGATAGATAGATAGATAGATAGATAGAGAGAGAGAGAGAGAGATAGATAGATAGATAGATAGATAGATAGATAGATAGATAGATAGATAGATAGATAGATAGATAGATAGATTAGAGATATAGACAGAGTTTTACTTGCAATACAAGAACTTGGAAAAGATTTCCGTGTTCCTGTATGCGTCACAGAGAGATCCGAGCAGCTGCTGACATCCATCCTTTTCCCCCTTCCCTTCTGCAGGAGTGCCGCATCCTCAAGAATTTCTCCTCCCTCCGCGCCATCCTTTCTGCCCTCCAGTGCAACGCAGTTCACAGGCTGAAAAAGACCTGGGACGAGGTGTCGCGGTGAGTCGGAGGGGGGAAAAACACGTGTGGATGGGCGCCTGTATCCAACCCTGGTTTAAGGCCAACCTTTTCAAAATGGTTGAATTAGCAAGAGAATTCCCACCGAAGCTTCTTTAACCATCTCCGTTTAGAACGAACGAACGAATGAATGCCTGAATGAAAATTGTATTGAAAAGTATGAAAGGTAGATTGTGTTTAGGTTCCCCGAAAATTTCCTTTCTATCCTCTTGCAAGCTGGTTTGGTAGCCAAGTGGAATTTTCAATGGGATGGAATTGTGGAAACTTTAGTTTTAAGGGAGATTTTTTAGTGGGAGAGAACTGGAGTGCCTTGTGATCAATTTTAAATATCTCTCAAGGATTGAATCTCCCCCTTAGCTGACTTTCGCCCACGGAGGAAAATGTTTTTGAAAACAAAACTAGCCAGTCTCAAAATGGGAAGCCTGCAATAGTTATTTGTCAAATCCAATCCTTTTTCTCCCCCCCCCGGAGACAATGTTTCCCAAGGTTTTTGGTGGGCTGAATATTGAAACATTTAATTTGCAGAGGGAAATCAACATTTTAAAAAACAACAACATTGACTTCCCTTTGCAATGAAATGTTTCAATATTCAGCCCACCAAAATGTTGCCTTCTGTTCGGGTTTTGCAATTTGCAGCGCTGTGTATTTTAAACTGCAGCTGTAGGTCCATGCTTGCAGGAGAAAAAAAATGGGAGTTATGTTTGCCTATTTGCAGAAGTTTTTACAAGAATTTGATGCTCCCGAGCTTCATTACTATTCCTTAATTTTGTTTCAGGTCAGGGATGATGGTTTTTGGCTGGGTTGGTTGGGGTTTTAACCGCCGGAGTTTCCTTATCACAGTCAGATCTCAGTGCAGCCAGCAAATTTATACAGATAGTCCTTGACTTACAATCACAATTGAGTCCAAGGTTTCTGTTGCTAAGTGAGACAGTTGTTAAGTGAGTTTTGCCCCATTTTACCGCCTTTCTTGCCAGAGTTGTTAAGTGAATCACTGCATTTGTTAAGTTAGTAATGCCATTAAGTGAATCTGGCTTCCCCACTGTCAGAAAGTTGCAAAAGGGAAAATTACACAACCCCGTCATAATTGCAAGTCAGTTGCCAAGCGTCCGAATTTGCACCACATGACCATGGGGATGCTACAACAGTCGTAAGTCTGAAAAACGGTCCTAAATCATTTACTTTCAGTGCTGTTTTAACTTTGAACGGTCTCTAAACGAACTGTTGTAAGTCAAGGACTACCTGTGCAAGGGAAAGAGAGGTAGCAGGATTGAAGAAAGATGTGGATGAGGATATTTTTAGAATAGGAACAAGGGGAATAATAATGGGAATGGAATAGAGAATAGAATAAGAATAAGAATTGAAGATGAATAGAATAGAATAGAATAGAATAGAATAGAATAGAATAGAATAGAATAGAA